CAAAAAATGTAACTATTTTTGTAGCAGCTTGGCATCAGCTTTTTGCTCTCAGATTTCTTCTGCAGAGCCTATTTAACCAAAGAAATAGATTGACTGACACCTAGTGGAAAACTGAAGACTTTCTTCATCTTATTTAGCTGAGTGAAAGAGAATTCAAATCGACTTTGTACATATTAGCATTACTGTAGATAATAATATTATTGCTGGATCACATGTATTTTATCTCTATTTCATTAGTGCATTCAAATATTCAACAGAAGCACAGACAGGGGAATCAACAGGAATTTATTTTAAATATATACACATTCTTTGGTTAATGAAGGAGCCTGGTATTAAACCAGGACAAGTACATCCATTCCTAACATTGAGAATATCAGTAACACATAGCTCTGGAAGCTCACAAAGTACTAATAAATAAATATAGATTTTTATTTTTTTTTCTCAGCACTAACAGTCTTCTGGAATTGTTTCTACCAAAATACATTTATTCCCTTATTAATAATTAATGTGGAAATATTTAGAAGGTGAAAAGTACATTTTTCCCTAAATTTTTATTTCTAGTGACCTTAGAGAAGCTCATTGTATGGTATCATTAATCTGACTAACAACAAAAAACATGAAGACAATTTTGCTTTCTCATTAGGATTTGTAGATGCTTTAGACTCTTGTCTCAGTGTTCACCTAATGTTCAGCATCTGTGAAGGGATTTTGCAATGCCAGACAAATGCCAAACCCATCTGAGCTGACTGCAGAGCTCCCACAGACCGAGGCAGGTACAGTCCCATACGTGCTGTGACTGACAGATGTGACTGGTGCAATGCTGTGCTTTGCCAGCCTTGCTGTGAAATCACAAGGTCCAGCTGGTGAAGGATTAAACAGAGGGGGTTCTCTTGCAGAATATCTAAAATATCTAAAAAAATATCTAAATATAGATTTCTGGTAGAAAGAGGCTTTTGCATTCACTTCCTTAGGACAGCATTTCTGTTCTCCCAGCGCCTCTCTGTACTTTTCCAAAGTATGTTATCTAAACAGTCAGATCCATATTCCATATTCTTCTGCCTTGCTCCGCTATCTCAAATGAGTGGCATGTGGGTCCTGAAAGATAATCTGACATGTTTGGTTTTTTTAATGAGAAGTTATATAATAAGTAGGTTAGAATTTGGTACTATCAGCAGTGCCATTCACACCCAAATCCCACAGATCTGAATTTTAGGTTTGATAATGATTACACAAATTTATCTGAAGTGACCTTAATATCCATGTAGGTCCTGAGAAGTTATTTATAAGCTGAGTCTGTTGATGTTACCCATAAGCAAGAAATTTTCCTACATAAATCCCAGACTAATGGTCCCATAAAACCATATGGCTATCAGGTCTTACTTCTAAATTTTTCTATTTCTCAATTAAAAAATATGTAAAGAAACTGCCTGTGGTCCTTTGAATAGACTCTTGGCTGGTTTAGATGAGAAAAACACTGCCTTATATTTCATGTTCACATTTTTTTTCTTCTTTTCCTTTATTTTTTTTTTTAATTCTTCATTTAATGTTTCTTTCTTAACAGTGGTATTATCCAGCACTGTTATGAATATTCCTACCTATTGTCTCTCTCCTTCTTCCATTTCTGAATCCTTCTGACTTATTTGTTCAAACATTGGCACTTGTTCAGAGGGTAAGCAGGCACACAAGTGCAGGAGACCACTATGACACTGATAGCAATGATCTCAGCCTTGGCAGAAAAATGTCATTTCACATTATTCTCTGCACGCAACCAATCAATCCAGGAACAATCCAGCTTTGGCACACACAAACTGTAGGGATCAAACCAGCTGAAAAGTAGCCCCAGACCATGTCCTGGTATTTCCTTGATTATGTTATTCCCCTTGTATTTAAGAAACAGCACGAATCTGTATCTGTTAGAGGCTGCAGTGATGATTTTCATACTGTCAGCTCAATGTAACCAACACGGCCTTCAGTGAACTAACACCTCAGAGAAGCCACCCTGCCAAATATCCCCTGACAAAGATGCAGCTCAGATATGGACCACAATGTTGTATGAACATTACTGTCTTTCAAAGTCCTCCTCAGGACTTTGTGAGGAAGGGACCATAAGTGTCACCCAAGAGTGACATTCCCACAGTGATGTCCAGTGAGTTAAGTGTAGAATTTTGGGAGCGTGTGCTCATCTCTCCCTTTTTTTGATCCTACTTCCATTCCATGGTTTCACATAGGCATCTTATAACCCGTTATATGTAGGGAACAACCCTTTTGACCCATGTACATGAAAATATAATTTTTCTTTAGTTCAGTTTCATTGCCAGAATTCCATTTTCATGTCACCATTCCTGAAATCTCCATATTTAGTATCACCAAATGGCTATCACTGAATATGGCTTTTTGTTTATTTCAAAGTTCAATGTAAGAATATTGAAATTGTTTATGTAATTGCTGTATTAAGCCTGGTTTTTGTATTTATCCACTTGAGCATTGGCTTCTTGATACTCTGTCTCCAGTTAATTCTCCTTTAGGCTTCTTTAATCTCAATAAGCCAGAGCCTAATATGTTACCACAGAGACACGATCCAGCACAGATTGAAGGGCTCATGTGGTTAACCTGCTCAGAGACACTAATGGTTTGTTTAATATTTCATAGATATGTCAATTACAAATTCTGTTCATAGTGGAAAGGCTGCTTTGCACAGCACTACACCACGTCTCCTGCAAGGTCTTTATGAGAACTGAAAGGCAAAGCTGCACCTGAGGACACATTGTGGTGCATACAGCAGGCATGCACTCTGTGGCAAAATTCCCATTTAGGAAGTTGACCCAAACACTAGAAAAATCCATGGCTGCAACTCAGAGTAAATTCAGATAGAGAATCATTGGTTTTTCACTGGTAAGTTTTAAAAGTTTCATTTCACTTCAGAATTTGGTCTCTCAAAAAAAGCCTTAGGTATTTTTCACGGCAAACAAAAATAAACATGCAAAGTTTTGGTGCTTTGAATACCCACCTCAAGGGGTAGGTGAGAAAGTGTCACAGGTCCAATCTGCCCTTCATGCACAGATTTTTTATTTTTAGTTAATTTTTTTTTTAACTTTCATTTCCTTGTAAATCTCAGGTAGAGGCAGGAGAGAGAAAAAGAGTTGGGTGTGCCTGTGGCTTACTCTTCTAGGGACTATGGAAACACTCCTGTGAAACTGTGGCCAAACATTTGTTCCATTATTAAACTGACTGCTCTATTTTATATTTAAACATAAATTAAACCTCCCAGGGATCTTTGTTTCTCCTCTGAACCACAGAAAGAAAGCTTGAGTGACTTTCTGTCATTCTCTTTAATGTGACTCTCCTACCACCTTCCCTTTCTTTCCTACTACCTCCATCCAAAAACATCCTCTGGCTGGCAGCTCCGTTGTACTCACGGCTTAGTTCTCTCTTCCTCACTGTCAAATTGTTCGCTTCCCTTTCTGAAATTGCACTGAGGGTTACTTAAAATTGTATTTTAATGTAACTAAAGCATTTAACGTATGCAGGGGGGAAACATTAAAAGGTTGCATTAAAAAAATAATTACATGTATTTATTACTCAGGGGTTAGACAAACATTTTCAATGGTCCAGTGGTCAGTGTTAGAACGCCAGTCTGTGTAAAGTGGAGAGGGTCAGATCCCAAGAAGCAGCAAGCACTCTTGATTGTTATTGATGTTGATAGTTGCAGCTAGTGCTCAGTACAGGCAATGACCTTCATCAGGCTACACCATGGAATAAAACACTAATTTAAACCAGCCTGGAAATACTGTGTGCAACTCCTATTAATTTTTTCACTGTCTCATCTCTTGCATTCTCTTGGACACACTGGAATACAGCTTTGGCCAGTGAGCCACAAAACATTCTGCTTTCCCCTTTTTAAGTGGAGAGGTTTAACCTTGTCTGGAGTATCTGTCCTTTCTCTGCACTACAGCATTTTTTCTGCCCAAATGACCTTTCTTTCACAAGAAACACTGTTCAGAATTAAAACTGACTATCCTGTCATTCCTGTGGTAACAAAGCAGAGATGTGAAAGGTCAATTTATTCCCAGTAATTCTGACATGTAGCACAGTGTCTTCTGCAAAGATGCAGAAGAGAGACACAAGAAGAACACGATGCTGCCTCACCAAAATGAACCTCTCACAAATGACTTAACTTTTATCCTGTGCAAGAGGAGCATCGGCTTTCAATCTGATTGTGCACACACAAAGACTTCTTAAGTTACCACACATGTAAGAGAAAATATCTTCGGCTGTATCTTTTGTCTATTTTACTTGTGACAGTTTCAAAATGACAAGAAACATTTTCTTCATTCAGAAAAAAGAATTGAGATGCTGTACAAAAAGCAACAACAAACTGAAAATTTTGCAAAGTCAACCTACTTTGTCATAACTGAAGAGGGCAACCTAATACCATCTCACTGTTCCTGCATCCACTGTCCCATCCATAAAGCCCTCATCAAATCAGAGCACAGCACCTTGTCAACAAGGCCAAAGGAGATGGAGAATTTATATCCATAAATATTTTCAAGGCTAGGAGTACCACACTTAGTATCTTTCTTTTCTTTTTCCTTCTTCCATATTTTTATTTCTGCTTAGATATGATCGTAATTGCTGGAGCACCCCCTACTAGAGTTTTTTCAATAGTGGTAGTGGTGCTTTTGGTGCGGTTGCTTTTTTAAAATATAGAACAATTTGTATTCTTCTTAAGACAATTTATCTCTGTTGAGCACTGGGAGAAGAAGCAGGTGCAGGTACTGAACTGCCACAAGTGCAACAGAGGCATCTGCTGTCCTCAAGCACCCCAAGCTCTAGGAAGATGTAGAGATAGCTTAAACAGTTCAAAGGCAGAGACTCCCTGCTCCACAGCAAATCCTGCACTATCCTGTTCTGCATTGTGTCCATGTGGTCTAACTGAATGAGAAAACAACACTAACACAGTCTTCTCAAATTTAACATTTAAGAGCTTTCCACAACACAAATTTTCAGGGGCCAATACATTTATTAGCTAATGTGAAGACACACAAATTTTGTAGAAAATTATATTTTAACCAAGTAGGATTTATTTCTGTTGAATACTAAAGAATAGATTCCATGTATGGACACCACAGAATTGACTACAGAGCAGTACCTAAGCATGGTTTTCACCAGCAGATTGGAAGATAAAATCACGGCTAACTGCCAGAATTCATATACTGTAAGAGTAAGGAATGCTGAACTCGCAAAAGAGAGAAGCACTTGTACATATTTAACGCTGACACACTTCATTTTCCTGGAGTACTGAAGTAGTCCCAAATCCTGTAAAAATGCTAAGCAAGAAAGCAGGTAGTGCAGCAGATTTAACACACTGTTGATACTAATACAGCCCAACAGGGATGTGAATGCAGGCTGATGGAGACATGACACAGCAGAGAGAATGCAGGATCAGAGCTATCATTTCTATTCAGAACCTACCCAAGCAGCTCACTAGCACTATTTTGCGGGTGGAACACATACAGCTCTTCACTTACCATTTTAAACTGTGCTTATAAGTAACCTCTATAAAAATAAGTACCAGGAAAGTCTGCTAGAATGTTTTTAGCTTTCATTTCTCAACTGTGATTTTAAAATTCCTACACGTTGAGCTTGGAAGAAAGTAAATTAGTCACTGTTAGAACCAAAAAAATGACACATTCACTTCTAATAGAAACATTTATCAACAATTACAACTGTATTAGTCCTGCAAAAATAAGTCTGTGCAATGTATTTTTTATTGCAGTTGTGGTGCCAAGTAATAGGACAAGAGGCAATGGGCAGAAACTGATACACAGGAAGTTTCACCTGAATTAATTTTGTAAGAAACCAGGGCATCTTTCTCAAGTCATCTAAACTTCTCCACATGCCACCTAGTGCTACCTAAGCACCTTAGGAGCAATCTGAGCCCACTACAGCCAGAAGCAAGCTCTTTACCAGCAGAACTGAGACGAGATTATTGCCCAATCATCAGAGAAGAAATGTAAAAACACATTTGCCTTTTACATTATAATAGTCAGATCTTCCAGTCTTGACATTGACAAAAGCTTAAGTATTCAAGGCTAGCTGGGTTTTATTTACTTATTCATTCATTTACTATACTTTTTAATGGTACATCCACTTCTCTGAGCTCATTAACTTTGTAAGCTGTTAAATCTGGGATCACATTGATTCTGCTGGAAATTACCTTTTGCTTAAGGTGGGCCTCCTCAAAAGAGAAACCTCTCAAGAGAGACCTTCACCATGCTCTGAGTGAGGTAATCTGGTTTATGAGATGATAAAGCTGTTACAGATCCAGGCAGCTTCTGCTAATAGATGGGAGACTGCCCTCAAGAATAAAGGTTTGCTGTACAGACTTCACAGTCATAATCTCAGCTGACTGACCCGATTCCATAAAAATTATGTTACACGGTGATGTTACATCCTCAGAGGACAATTGAATATTTGGGGAACAGAAAACCCAAAAAGCTGCTTAGCAGACCTCCCCTCTCCTTCTCCCAAGAATTTATAAGAATCCAATACAAACTCAGCATCAACTCAAAACATGAGAAAATTCAATACAGAATTAAGTATTTGTGAAAAGTAACCCCAGGCAAGAACCTCAAACCAAATAAAGCATGGAAAGTCTACAAACACAAAAGTGGTTCAAAGCACTTCAGCAGCTTTGAGGGGACAACTGTAATTCAAACATATAGAGCAAGAAGTTTTAACTAGAGCCTGACATAGATTCAGCCTCTTGCAAGGATATTAAGTCTATATTCTAAAGAAAATGGACATATTTCCCTTCTCAGTTTACCCAAATTCCATCAGTCCACTTAACTGAACACGCCACAGTCAGACTGTAGAAGTTCATATAACAAAATTGTGATGTTCTTTCTCCCAAATAACTAAACCCAGCTGTCAGTTAAGATTAATAATACTTAATAAATATTTTCATATGTGTGAAATAAAGTTCCTACATGCTGGCATTTAGGGATGAAGTTTCAGAATTGGATATAGGACAATAATAATCTACCTCTTTCTAAAACACAGCCCAAATTCCAGGAGTGATTAATATCCACTGGCATACTTTATCTGGAAGCAATTGACTTCTCTAAAATTTTCAAGCTCATCCAGAAATTCCCAAAATAAAAGGCAGGCCTCCACTGTCTGACACAACCCCATTGCAAATGAGGTGTGGAGCTCAGCACAATCCATGCTGGCTCAGCAATATGGGTACTTTGGCCCTAAATGTCTAAATCTGGAGCCTGAGGATGCAGCAGGTGCAGCCCCCTCATCCAGGAGCAGCTGGACCCAGTGAGGCAGGGAATATTGCCCATTTTCTGAAGTATGGCTCATACACAGCAACTGAAAGCCCTAGCCCCAGGCTGCACTGAAAGTAACGTTTAGATTAGAGTGGAATGGTATTTCAGAATGTATGGTTCTTTGGCCACACTTCTATTTTTCAAAGGCCTGTGGGGAGTGCAAGTGGTACAGACCCAGGATGGATAAAGTATAAGGATTCCAATCTATGAGGGAGACAAAAATGATTGCTTGATTGAGGACATTATTCCAGTAAACATATCTATAATACATTACCATGTGGCAATTAACAACTAGGAAGCTACACCAAAAAATACTCAGCACCATCAAATTTTCTACTGAACAATCCCAAATCCACCTACTCAGGCAACATAGACTGGAAAAGCTTGGCATTTCACTCCTATTGCCTTGTATTCAAAGCTACTTGCTCAATAATAGGGCAGACATCTTAATTATATAGCTCTTTAAAACTGCTGTAACAAAAGAGGTTTAGGGGTTCTATTTTGGGTGGGGTGGGAAATCTGTGCAACTCCATTAAAGGTCAGAAAATCACACCAGCTGAAGATGTGCCCTGCACTGCAACCACTGACTATGAATTAAGCCTAGGAATGGAGTAACTCTGTGCTAATGAGGCAATTAGCCTCTTCTAGCCCTGCTTCTGTTGGCAGTTCCACTACTGATCTTCTGAAGCCAGGTGCTTTTTATCCCCAGCACTATAAACTGCTACAACCTTCTACAGATGGATAGTGATGGTATGTCTTGGTGGGAATAGGAAAGTTGTGTAAACATTCTGTTATCACTTAGGTCCCAAAAGATTCATTTAAACTTCACAAGACAGGAATTTGTATTTTATGTGCAAACTGGGCTTATCCTCATCCTGTCTACATTATTTAACACACCATTAATGTATATTCTCATGTCTGTGAATAAGAAAAGTAAATATGACAGCTGACCAGATATGCACTAGATTTTTATTAATTTAATCTTAGCTTCCCAGGCTTATCAAAAAGATATATGTATTTCAAGGATTTGATATTTTAGAACTTTACATAATACTCACACTCCCACAAATCCCTCTGACTATTATATACATGTAACCAATGGAAAACTACAGCAAAGGAAATTAAGATAAGATATTTGTGAGAGCTAACACATAAAACTTCACCTGCACCTGCAAGACAAATTAAATTATTTTTAAAACAAAGGTAAAAAATACTGTCCAAAATCTGTGCTGCCATTTGCTCCCAAATAAAAACATCAAATGACAGAACACGCAGAGCTTGTTTGGTGCACAGTTTTTTGCCCATTAATAACTCTACTCCCAACTGAGGAGCACTGGGACCATGCTTGCTCCCAGTTCTACAGCATGCACTCTACCAGTGTACAGCCAAGTACAATTTTAGACATAGTGTTCATGTCTCATTTATAGCACTTCAAGAATAGGGAGCAATGTGACAAACTTCTGGCATCTGAAGAATAAAGACTAGACTTTCTACTGAGAGGATATTTCTCATAAAAGATGCCCTGATCCTTGGTTTATAAAAAGGTTTGTTTCTCAATAGAAAAGTATATTTTAAAACACAATTATTTGCTAACAGCAATATAAAACTCTACAGTTTTAACTTCATAAAAGTTTAGCAAAACAAAAATATTATCTACCACTTGCATTCCTATATACAGACCTTGCATTAGCTAGTTAAATAGTTGAGAGTTAATAACTCAGAAATGAATGGCACACAACTACAAGATTCCAATTCCATGTCACACTGCACAATCACAGTAACACAAGGAAGAGCTTAAAATCCTCAGTCACTGGATTCTGCTTTGCTCTCTTTATAGCTATGTTCCTCTTCTCTCTGCAATAATGCACCAGTTTCCATGGTCGTAGCAGGAAGAAAGTATCTGAAGCTCAGGCACATTCTCTTCCACCAGAGAACACAGCTCCCCTTCCCGAAAAACATGGTAATAACGCATGAAGGCCTTTGTATCCAACATGGCATCGGTTTGGTCCCCAACAGACACTGCTGAATCCAAAGCTGAGTCAGTGGAGTCAGTTGTTGAAGTTCTTTTTTAAATCCTTCGGTGCATCTGTGGCTGGCGACCACTGTGGTTTTTTGAGAGACAGGCTTTCCACAAACACATCATCATCATCATCTAAACTTGGTTCATTTAACAGAGACCCATGGTGACCTAAATCCAAGCTGCAGTGTCGTGAATGTTGAATGGGTATGGTACTGTTTGCCCACACGCCTTCATGTTTCAGGTGCTTCATTTTGTCACTTTGCTTTCTCAGGGCTGCTTCATCAAGGGATCTGGAGAAAAACCATGAGCGGAAAGATCTTCCTAGAGCACTGTAAAACCTGTTTTCCTCCTCAGAAATTTTCATGCAGCAGGCTCTGGGTAAGCAATGGTCCATACTGCGGGAATGCTTTGAATCAGTTTCTGGCTGCAGATTGTTTTGGTAGCTGCACTCAGAGATGACAAGCTGTGCAGGGTGTTTGTCTTGGCCTTTTGCTGTATGGACAAATTCACCCTTATCTCCAGATTGATTTGATTCTGAAAAACGGCGTGAGCACAAGGCCTTGTTCCATGGAACAAATACATCTTGTTTCTCAAAGCGACGATTCTTTTGTTCCATAGCCCAAACATAAATCATTATTTGGCCTCCAGGTGTCAGTATCCTTGCCATTTCCTTTATTGCTTTGATTCTTCTTTGTTTAGTTGAGAAATGATGTATTACTGTGAAAAAAAGGAAAGGCATTATGTATTGAATATTAGAAAGGACAAAGCATTTCCATCTTCAACCTGTTCTAAATGTTCAGTCATTTCAATTGCCTCATTCCAAATTATCACAAGTCAGCAACAGTGCTGGATTTATAGGTACCACAACGGAAGTTTATCTCAGAACGCTCTCTTTTATGATTATGTTCAACATAAATATTATATAAATACATGATCATGTTCAATGGATAAAAATAGAAAAATCTGGAAGGAAATTAATCTCACTCCAAAACAGGAATTCAAGAAAAGTCAGGTACATAAGCTGGAGGTTTCTGTTTCTCTGCATAACCCATAACACATTATAACATGGCAAGCTTTCACTTAAATGGCTGGCCTTCAGGTGGTTCAGGTAGTATCAGGCTGACTTTAGCTTTTGGCACAATTTTCAGACTTATCTTACTGAAAACAGAAAATCTTTTCACCATGTAACAGATACAGCAAAAAGGAAATATCAGTAAAAATATTACTTTGAACTTTTATATCAGCACAGTTGCAAAAGATCTAGTGAGAAAATTTAGAAAAATATTGACCATTGCTTTCATTTTGTTGAATTAAATTTAATTTTTGTAAAAAAGAATGTCTACATTGCACGTCTCAGCATTTTATTTATTTTTTTTTTTACATTATGTTATGCTAGTAAAAAATAAAGCCAAATTTAGAATAAAATTTTTGATCATTATATTTGGATTTGCTTTCTAGGACAATTTCCACATTTTTGAATTTTACTCCAATGTGAAATTACACTACATTTCAAGATTTCTGTATTATTTCTATCTTCCTATTAACTGGAAGTATGAATGAGCCAATTTTAACAGTCAGAGAATAGCGAAGAGACCTATTTTCTCTCTAAACTCTCAGTGGCATTAACTTGTACTAAGCTTGGACACACTGGTCATGTTCTATATGTCATCAGTACTAGGTTTGATTCAGTGACACAAAGAGGATATAAAGAGGACTGATTCTATAATTTGTTTCAAGTGGACTTGGAGCCAACCACTTCTACATGAAAAACATTCAATCTACCCACAGAACAGCAGATAATAGAGTATGTTCTTAGCTGAAGACATTTCTCAGTAAATTCAGAAAAATTTGATTATATGTGCTGCTTGACAGTAGCCAATTCTAGTTGTAGAAACAGAGTTAGTTCAACACTGCAGTTATGAAAATGCATCCAACTAGCCCTGTCTTTATTCAAAACAATGATTAAATTACCAAGGGGGAAAAAATGTAGCTTTATTATCACAAGCCAAGAAAAGCATTCTTGGCAGTTAATATCAACGGGGCTCTCACAAGCTGCTGAGAATACGAAATAGACAACTCTGAGAAGAGTTTCCAATCTATGTACTCAGTGCTTGTTTCCAGGTACTCCTGACTCCAAAGAATCTTTTTTCAAACTTTGAAAAAAAATAATTTAAACATCTATTTTTTTTGCACAGGATAGGGAAAAGGGAATTGATATTTTCTTATACTGGAGTTAGGCCATACACCACCACAGACTCTCCTGCAAAATTTTATCAAAACTGACAGAGATGACATACACATACAAGCTTAATTTACCAGAAAGGAATTACAATCAACCAACGGAATCTGTGCAAACTCTTTACTGGGTTAAATATTCCTTCTGGTTAGAATCACTCAGGTGGTTCTGCAGAAAAATCAGTCTTTTAGACATGATTATACCAGTAAACCCAAGAGGAATATTTGACTAAGTACATAAAGACTTGTTTTTCTCTGTAACAGGATGAAAACCACTTTATTTAGAATTAGATGGACAAAGGCATACAATGTCTCTATTCAAGAAGGATTAAAATCCATTATTGTTAAATGTACTGAAATAGCATGTAAACTTTTAAACTTGCAAGGCTTATAATTGATAGAAACAATAGATAGGTATGCTATCCTTCAGTCAGCTGATTTGATAAGCACTGAAATTATGCTACAAGACCTGAAATGTGGGTAGGCTCACTGGTTAACTAGCCAACATGAAAGCAAAGTAATATGATTACTTCTTGTGTATTAGTCACCCTTTCTTTCCACCTGTTTATGTGAAAGATATATTTTAAAATAAATTTCTATCACATTTCAAGCAGTTTGTTGATTGCTATCAATAATAATTTTCATGCTTTTTACTTTTGCTGATGAATTAAAAAACCCTGAAAGAAGCTCAATCAAAATTAGAGCTAAAAACACAGACTGTAACTGGGTACTCTAACTATTATTTATCTACACTTTGCAAATTATACTTCTCAAAATACGAGCAGTATTTTCAAAAAGAGAGGTCAGAAGAGTTAAGATGCCAAGATGCTTGGTCATTTTAGGCAACAAGCACTTGTATGACTCTGAGTTTTTATGACCAAGAGAAATATGAATTCATAACACATAATAGTTAACATGACTTCCAAGTTCTGCTATAAAGTTTTCATTTCAATGCATTTGCTGATCAAAACAGATCCTATGGAGAAACCCAGAGTTTGTCTTGAGCATCTAATCTGTTTAAACTTTGAGCAGCCATGTTTAGATTAGTTTTCACTTGTTTAAAATGCAGGCTGGAATGAAATCTTTTCTCTACCACATATAAACAAATGAATGATATGCATATTTCCTTGGTCAACAGTGCCTCTTGAGTAATGGGAGTTCTGTTTTTTCATGTTGACTACATTCATTTCAGTTATATCTCCTGTGATTCTAAGAAACTGTTTCAAAACAACTGAAATGAAGCCTCATAGAAATAAAAGAATACAGAAATTCTCATTTGCTGGGGCCAGAATGCAGGTATGTTGTCTTACCTCCAATTGAAATGACTGCATTAAAGCACTGATCCCTAAAGGGAAGGTTAAGGTTGTCACACACCAGAACTTCATCACCTTTCTTCCTTGCAATTTCTACCAGTCCTTCACAGTAATCGCAGCCTAGATTATACACTTGACTGTTGACACTGAGATACTTTCCAGTTCCACAACCTAAAGAAAAGGATACTAGGTCAGAAGTCAAAAGTCAGAGACATTTGCTCTCCCTCCCAAAGCAATGAAAATAATATGAGGGCTTTCCTAATCCCATATTTTCCTGGAGGGTTTGTGCTGAGTAGCCTAACTGCTGCAGGACTGGATTTGGACTGTTGAAATTGTATGTTCACACTATTAGTATTGTAACAGCACCAACATCACCAACAAAAATACTCATTACACAGCCCTGTATAATAGCAGGTTATCTGTATTCCTGTGGGGAACAAGGATAAGTGCAGGTTGATGGAGGAAAGAATGGTCCTCTGTAGCCACTATTGTACATCTTGGAGAACAAAATTCCAACCATGCTGCTTCACACCCGAGTCGTTATAAAGCCTGGTATCTCATTACCAACAAAGAGCATAAATGGGTGCCCAGAAGAGGGTAAGAAAAGGATAAGCATTAAGGCCCCTTTCCTCAGTACTGTTCCAGCTTCCAACTACTTTCTGTTCAGGGGACTTCCTGAAGCCATAAGTGTGTTATGTCTTTTCAGTGATCTGCAACAGATCTCTTTTGTTTGCTTAACCCCATGCAGTACTTCTCCAGTACATCTCACTACTCTCCAAGGAACTCCTAAACCATAAATGCCACTGACACAAGTCAGAGTGGAAATTTTTTACTTTAGATACAGACTTGAAAATAACCATAAATCATAAAAGTGAGTTCCATATTGTAGGCACATCCTCTTTTTGTCTTTGTGCCAATGCATTATAACCCATGTAAATGTAATGAACTGTTCCAGAACGTCTTCCACCTAAAAGTCTGTCTTCTCAAGGACTGTGCTGTACTAAATTGAAATTTTTCAGAGGATCCCTCAATGCCTTATGCATAACAATCCCTTTTCAAAATCATACTGGGAGCTGTTCACTGCAGCTCTGGGTCACTAGTGAGGAATAATTTCTGAAAGTTGACAGCCAAGCAACGGGGTAGCAGCTTAGCAAAGAGAATCATCTCAGTATTGGTAATTCAATTTAAAGGCCTGGAGTTATCTTTAGAAACATCACTGCTTCTTGCAGTGCTGCTGCTCTCAGTGATGTTAATGTGCACCATTATCTAGAGAGACAGCACAGGAACTATTGCAGAATAGAACAACACTTCAGTATTGAAAAAGAGAGTATTTCTCAGCTAAAAGCAAGCACTATTCTTTGAAGCAACACTTGAGAGAAATGGAAAGTATTAATATTACTAATGCAGTTCAAGGAATATATGCAATAATACATGTTAGAAAACTACAAATTTTAAAAATTTGTATAAATTATTACTCATTATTGTGTTTGCAGAGGAACACATTTATTCAACCATCATTAATTTGGAAGATTCAGTTGCTTAATATATGAATTTTGGTGAAGTGCTTTTTAACTGCTGTGAAGTTTTGGAAGTATAGAGTCCTCTCTGGGATGAAGCTAAATAGGGTCAAAAATCCTAGTATTCTAAAAATCTACAATTGCCAGAGATTCACTTTTAAATGAGTCATCAGGAAGGTGAATTCCTTCATGTAGCTAACAATGGCCAAGCTATTTTCATGTGTTTTGATCAATGAAAAATAAGTAAGGCAAATAGACATAATGATATTTTATAATAATAAAATATTATTACCTTTAATAAAAGGTAGTGTTAAACTGAAAAGAAAATTACCAATTAAAGATCTCATTTTGAAAATTTTAGTGCCACTAGGCACTACTGCCATTTTAGTGCAACTCCAGATATCTGCCAAAAGTAAACACAATAGTTAGATTCCTGTAGATCTTATTAAACCTCATGAAAGAAGATACCTTGTGTGCCTTAATGGGACTATTCTTACTGGCAACTGTAAGGACTGATCTTCTCTCCAGATGAGACTGCAACAGGGTGACCTTAAGCTTTCAGCAATCACTGCTGATAAAGCCTCAAAGAACTTCAGATAAGATGCAAATGACTTCTATTGAAGTGGCAACAATTTTGGCTGAGACGAACCAATCCAACTCTCAGTTGAATGAGTGTATGCCACAGGATATTTCCTGAGATTATTAGTGCCATTGGTGCAGACACCTTCATCTGTATCTGGCTGCAATGACAATTTTTTATAGCAAAAAGCTAAAAAGATAGCTACATGTTCAAAATAACGTCAATCAAGTATTTTTGGTGTAGTGCTCAACAGCAGCAGGAGAGCTACATACTATCTTCTGATTACAGCCTACAGCATATTAAAATAATGTTTTTCTCTTATAGGATAAAGTGGATGCATAATTTATTGTGCACATTTGTTAAACCTTCCTTTGTAGAAGTATTTTATTAGTTTAAACAGTATGGAAAACACAGTGGTGGAAACAAGCATTTGTTTGTAATGATGTGCTGTATAGGACTGAAGTCATATCACAAGCAAAGGAAGCACGCCAGCACCTGGAAAACCCCAGAAAACCTGCAGGAGCAACAGAAAATCCAGATATAAATGCTACATGTATGGAAGACAAGGCCATAGCAGGAAAATGAGATTTTGGTGTCCATATTTAGGATCACAGGGAGATGATTGTTTTTTTTTTAAATATTTTTAATAGCAATCACATCAGAAGATTCCTCTTAATAAAAAGCCTTGCTAGGAGTAGTTTCAGGAGAAATGAAAACCAATAAATTGCAGACTGGTATTACATAAACTAAGTGATCTACAGAAACTGAAATATTAAATAATTGGGCTATTAACATAATTTTTTCAAAAGGGTTCCAAGGGAATGACAGACCATTAAGCCAGTGAGGAAATGGATAGATTAAGACTTAGCTCAACAAAAAAAGAAGGAAAAAATTATTTACTGTCTACATGAGACACTGCCAAAGAATTAAAAGAAGTGGTATATGGCATCTAGCATGGGGGCTTAAAACCAATTTTAAAACAGATTTAAACAAGTTAAAAAAGAGTTGATCTGAAGGCTAAATATGGTTAACAGCTAAACTAACAAAGCTTATAAACAATCTTTCACACCACTTCAAAGAATTGCTTACCTATATCAACAACAAGACTGCCAGGCTTTTGTTCCAGCAGAAAGTTCCGAACACGAGGCCATGCTTTGGTCTGCAGATCACTAAAGTAGGCAGCTGTATTTTCATACACACTGTGCACGTGCTGCTTTTCTAGCTGGGTAGCCTCATGTTCCATCCTGAAAACATAATGAAGATTATGTATAACAAAACACAAACTGTTGCAGCATACACTTTACATTTTATACATATGCACAATTCAGGACCTTCTACATTTATATTCATTAAATTATTACAGCCATCTAACAGACTATTTATAAAATAGTCTTTACTCAAAGGATCTGATTTTAATTTCATGAAAGTCAAGAAAAAATGTGAATGTAATACCTCCCCTGTGAAGCATTATATAACTGCACATGCCTATGCAATAATAGGCACATTCCCAAGTTCACCAATATAGTAAAAGCTGATCTTGTGCAAAAGAGAGCCCATATTCAGTGAAAGTGCAGAACAGTTATAGAATCATAGAATCATTTAGCTTGGAAAGACCTTTATGATCATCAGTCCAACCAGATGTGAACAGGATTTCTGTGAACAGTTGCAAAACACCCTTCCTGTTGTTGCTAATGTGAATAGACAAACTACTAATATATTACTTGAAATACAGCTTGGTCCCTGAAACCTAAGCCCCTGTATCACCCATAAGTGATTTTTGGTTTAACAGCACTCTAAAAGTAATTAGTTCGCTAAAATTTTTCAGCAACAAAACCTCAATTTCCCTACTTCTACTCCAGTACCTTCATGACTTAGCACAGTATTTTAGTTTAGTGATTTGAGAAGTGGTATCTTCTTAAACTTTAAGTATTACCCCCAAGCTCATGTAGAACACAAAGTGGATGCAGACACTGAATCCCTTCATACAGAATCTTACACCTTCCTTAACGTGTCCTCACAGCCAAGGACCAACCAAGTCAGGTTTGAGTATCTGATAAAGGCTGATGAGATTACATTTCAAAGTGCTAAGGTATTCTTCAAACTAATTTAAACTGTATATCTGGGAAACATTTCTTCCCATTATTAAAACAAAACTTATTCAATTGTCCAAGAACTCAACAGAGAGTAAAGCCTGTTTCCAAACATCCAATAGACTAAGCAATGTATTATCAAGATAAAATTATAAATGGGACTCCTTTGACTGCATTTGAAAAGGTCAGAAGCAAAGACTTTAATTTACTTTTCTTGATTTTCATATTTAGGAACCATAATAAAAGTTTCATCCTGTCACTTTTAGTATTGAAATACACGACTATGAGAAAAAAGATGAGAATATGAGAAATTATGGTATCTATGAGAAAAAACATTTTAATTATGTTTTTTTAAATGTATGTCTAATAAATACTGTGAGCTGACACCACAGCTGTTCTACAGACACATCTATCCATCACCTGTCCTACAAATACAATCATTTGAATTTAAAAAATAGGAGTTAATCCCAGTGACTGAAAAAATCAACGTACTTCAAGTGTGTGTGAATGTTTACAGAATAGAATGTAAGGCTTGATCCATTTCACTGGTACTGTGTAAGAGGTGGGGACAAACTGTTCACAGTTTTCAGTCTAGTCTGACTGTAGTATCTATGAATATCTCTCTTCAAAACATTTACGTTCAATATTTTCACAATCCTTACTTTATCTTTTTTCTACAATCCATAATTTCATTTTATGTTGCTGTAGCTCACCTTTTGTTAGGTGAACACACACATATACATAAAAATTAAATTCAGAAACAATATAGTACATTGCTAATAGGCACATTTTCAGTTTCATTGAAGACTAAGAGAAGCAACATAGACTTGAAATTATATTACATGTGCCAGAAGTTACTCAATCAAAACTTTTCTCATAATCCATTTAAAGTTGGATTCTATGATGTCACATAGCATGGGTTAGTTGCAGTAATTTCAATAAATATTCCTTAAAGTCAAAAGTCAAATCCTTAGTTTTTATTTGGCCCTTAAATATATAAACTTGGTGTTTCGTGTCTCCAGCTGTCTTTTTTCTCTGCCTCAAAACATATTCTGTTTGGTTGTTCAACTGCCTAAGAGTCTTCTATTTATAAGTAGTAATTCCAAAGACTAACAGTCATTTCTTTTATTTTGTTTCCTGACAAGTTCCTTGCTCTAATTTATATTTCATGTTTAGTTACTATGTGGTTCAGTGTATCCAAGTGCTCTCTTTTATCTTTCCACTTGATGCTCATTGTTCAATCTTTGCAGTTCTTAAAAAAACCCTGAAAAGGCAGAATGTTTTCAACCATTCATACTGAATTCCAAATGCTGTATTTTTTTCTCTGTTTTCCTGAAATGTCTACATTGATTTCCAACACAGACTGAGACCTGTCTTAGTTTCCTATTGAATCCAAGATCATTAAGTTCTTCCTGTAACTTTCCCATTCACTGGAAATGGTACTGGGTCTTCAGCTACACGGGACATGCTGGAGACTTACATGTATATTATGACACAGCATTAGGGGTTATTATTTTTAGATCTTCTTAATAAATATTTTCAAGAAAATAATTTTGTTATAATAGAATAATGGTAGTATACTAAAAAAATTACTTCATGCACCATTTTTTAACAATTTCCATTCCTGTTGATTGTTTATATTTGGCAAATAATTAAGGCACATGATGAAATCAAACTTGCCAATTGACTTTCCAGTCAAGATCCAAAATACTATCAGCTTTTACTCTGCAGCATGGCAGGTAATGTCCCAGCAATTAACCTCTTCATTTCAATGTTTACAAAACAGAAGGAACGTGTGGAGTCTGCCCAGACCTGCAGCTGTACCACTTCCACACAAGTACACTGTCACCAAAAAACCACAGAAGCTTAGACCCATGTAACTTTACAAGCCAAACTCAATGCTCCTATTTCTCTTTCTAAACAAAAACAACCATTACAACTTCTTTGCCTTGAAAATAACAGTCAGTGGCTCTGTTGGACATGAACTGTAGAAAACATTAATTTCATCCAACTTCTGGATTTAGCTTCCTGGATAATTGGAAAGTCTGTTTTGTAAAGTAGGTAATGAAAATCTGCCCAGAAACCCCACTGCTTCAGCATCTGCTCCAGTTCTCATTTAAGCTACCCAGAAGCTGTAAGACTAGCAAAGAGAAGCAGAAGGTGGTAATTATGGACACTTTTCCCATGCTCAATTCTTCTTCTCTTGTGCTTACACTCCTGTTAAAGGTCTCATGTAGAGGCTTGGAGCAGAGACAGGAGTGTGCAGTAAATTGGCACCGAGCTGCTCAGCCACTCTGCAGCAAGTCTTGCCAAGTCCCTGAAATGTGAATGCAGCTCAACAAATGTACACCTCCAGCAAGCAAGCAGCTTGGATAATAACAGAAGAGCAGGATTCTCCACCCTTTCAGTGCTTCCTGGCCATCCTCCTGGTGATTGGTTCATGAGATTCCAACAGGCCCTTGTTGCAGCTGATCCATTAAATGAGGAAACTGGACGAAAACTGTGTTCTCAATTCTGCTGAATTTACTGGGAAGTGGACACCAGTCCATCACATATAACTGTGGTACATTAACAAATCATTTGAAAGTAAATAGGTTGTAATCCATTGACTTTTTCCTACATTGCTCTTTTCCCTCTTTGTTAAAAGACCCCAAAAACAACCAAGCTAAAGAAAAAAAACCTAAAATATTACAGCTTCAAAAACAGTAAAAGGAATTGTACAAACACGATATATATTTTCATCACTATGTATCTCACTAAGAGTTCTCTGGCTCTAAGGTAATCTAATTTCTTCCCTTTCCATTAACATTCCGCAACCTTTTAGATAATTAACTTTTCAAGGATACTGCTTTAATAAAAGTCATGTTGCTTGGATATTTTTTATCGCTGCTGAAGTAAGAAATACATTTCAGCAAGTGACCTTGAAATGAAAACAACCAAAATGAATAACCTCCATTTCCAAGATTTTTTTTTTTAAACCATGTTTGGGTTTTTGGGGTTATTTTGGGAAGGTGAGCATGTTTGAAATTTTGTTGTTGGTTTTAAAAGCATTTAATTTACAATGTTGACTAATGGTATTAAACACCTCATCCTCAAGTGGACAAAATACTTGCTGGCTCCCAGATGCCTGGGGTATCTTGAAACTGAAGCACAGGAGGTAGTGTTCAGTCCAAAAACACTGCCTCTATCACAGTCTACCAAAAGCTTTTCACACTTACCTGCAGTTCTGAATCACTTGCAGGCCTCCTCACCTACCTTAAGTTATCTCCTCCCAGTCACTTACGATTTTCATCTTCCATCTTCTTTTCATTTATTACACCTTCCTCCACCTCCTTTAGCATGTGCTATATCAGCACAACTACTGAACTTGATGTAATACTGCATAATACTGTGAAGTCTTGACCTGGCTCATGTCCAGCTCCTCCTTGCCTTTATATCCAGGCCAAACACAATACTGCTATATGTCACAAAGCTTTTGACAATGGCCTCTTGGAACCACCTTGTAATTTTCCTGAATTGATCATATTTGTCTTGAAATCAATCGCTCTTGATTAATTTGCACCACAGGCCTTCCTTGTCTTCTCTTTTGCAACTATTTTCTCTAATGCTTTGATGAGCAGCATGGATTCACTCAATTCAGTGCAAGATTTCAGCCTACTAATGAGAGCCCCTCTTAGATACACTCTTTTTCACATGCTGATGGGAATTCTTAGTATCATTTTGGATAAGAACTGCTTCAAAGATCTGGGAAATTCAGCACAGTTGTGTCTCTCTTTGTTGCCACAGCAACATGAATCTTGATTACACACGTAACTCCAGCTATGGATGCAATAACCTAATTAATCACTTAAATGGAACAGGATAAACCACAAGGGCTAGGTCTACATCCTCAATACCCTGCTCTCCAGCAATAACACGCACTTGTAGCTGTTACTAACATCTAAGTAAAAGGTGGGGCAGTCCAATTTGTATTTCTCCCTTCGTCTCTAGAATAGGAAGAATCACCTATTCAGTGAGAAATGTTTTCAGTTTACTTCCAAAACTTAGTAGTCTTTTCATTCAAATACAGGTAGCCATGAAAACCAAGTGTACAAGCCTAGTGGACTAAAAACCACAGTATTTTTTCCCATGCTAAAACAAAAATCCAATTCATT